CACACTAAGTAGTTGGGAATTATCCGATTCGAATTCAGCGACACGTAAATTTAAAGAAAAAAAGCTTGAATAGGTTAATCTGAATTGCTGTTAAATTTGAAACTGTAAGTAAAAATTAGTTTTCTTTAGAAAAGAAAAGAAGAAAAAAAAAACGAAAGAAAGTTTTTTTAGTAGATAAGTAGTGACAAAGAAGATGAAATTATTTGCAGTATTTCCTACTGATTTTACATAAGTAATCGTTTTAAAATCAGCAAATTAAAAATTGAAATGATCTGTTATTCAAACATAGTGTCGCTGATATACGTTGTTGATTAATAGCTGAAAAAAAATTTTTATGTTCTTGGATATATAACTTACTGCAGAAATAAAACTTGACAGCAGCTATAGCAATCCAATTTTTCCATTACACATTGATTTATCAATAGTGAAAAATGAAGAGAAATGTTTAAAATTTTCAAGATAAGTGTAGTAACGCAAAAGAAAAATGAAAAAAGCATTTTGTATCAATGATTCTTTTCAACAGGTGAGATTATGAGATACAGTTAAAAAAAAAAAACAGACAACTTTTTTCCTTTTTAACATATTATAAGAGGGTGACAGTTATAAATGCCTCACTGCAAAACCCGTTGTTGTTGTTGTTGACATTTTTTTTTTCTAAAGAAATGTTCATGCTACTTTCTAATCATTCTTGGCCATTTTTAGATTGTCTTTGAAAATTTTGTTTATCGGAGTAGAAACACTGTTTCCTTTTTTTTTTTTTTTTTGCGTTATCGCAAAATCAGGAGGACATTTTAACAGTGAGAATAAAAAGTGTTGCTGTTGCTGGTGTTCACTTTTGTGGTGGAAGAAAAAGAGGAAAAATTGAAAAAAATATTAGAGAAACGTTCAAACTAAAAAAAAAAAAACATACTTTCTAAACGTCAAACTCTTTTTGCAATTTTTTTTTGAATTATTACATTTTTAAGTCAAAAACATTCACTGAAGTTTTTTTTGAATAAATATACAAAACAAAAGAATACTTCGTTTAATTTATTTGCCCAAACTAAAAAAACAGTTTTAAAATATTTGGTTTTTTTTTTTCGAAATTACTACAGTGGTTCTGCATTTTTATTGCAAGAGGTTGGACGACAGGGAAAAGGAAGAGTGTGGAATGACAAGAAAAATGAAGAATTTTTACTACGAGTTGATGTAAATCATCGTTGCTGTGGAACTTCCACTGACGAGGCAAATTAGCCTCAACTTTTCTATTTGGTCAAAAAGTAAAAAGAAGAAAGCATTTGTACAGTAAAAGAGAAATAACTAGTTTTTTTTTCTCTTTCACATTTGCCACTTGAAATTTTATCTCAGATTGGTGGCACTAAATGAGCAATTTTTTTTGTGTCATAAGTTGATCAGTAAATTAAACTTTTCTTCGACAATCAAATTCACCTGATCAACATTAACTTTATGTTTGAAATCCAGCGCTAGCTAATGAATTTTTGAATAGAATATGCATTTATACGGCAGAGAGATACACCATGCAAAGATGTTTGATCATATGAGGAGTGGAAAAAAGAAACGACAGCAACAAAAAATGACTTCAAACAGTAAATAACAATGTTTTCTTTTGCTTCACCGTCTGAATTAACCACTGATGGAACAGTGTCAAGATTGAAAACTGGTGTACTGACATTAAGTACATAGAATGGTTGATAACTGAAAAAGATAAAATAAAATCGTTTTTAACTTATCCTAGAAAGCGCCATGACTCTTCTTATGTTCAGGCATTTTTGTTCTTCGTTCTTTTCGTGTGCTAAATGCTTTTTTTTTTACTTTCCGCTACAGTTTTAGCGATAGATTTTTCTTTTGGTCAGCTTCTGCAGATTGACTGGAAGAAAGAAGGAGAAACCATAGGAAAAAATGCCAATTTTGATGAGTTATTTTTTGACTTTACTGTTTTTGCGCAAGAGTTGTTAGATATTGAAGCAAGCTTGCCTCCTCTTGTTGGAAATGCTTTGTTCACTCATTGAATTGACGCGCTTTTGAAATTAAAAAAAAAATTTTACTTGAAATTTTCTAAACAATTTATGACATCAAATTGCAGTAGTGTAAGAAAACCCAATAAGTCTGAAGAACTTATAAAAGGAGATGTGCAAATTTCTACAAGAAAGACAGAATTTATAAGCTTAAAAGCAATGTGGAATAAAATACTATATTTTTTCGATTTAAAATAACATCAGTAATTTCGAGTTAACTAGAAAGACAGAAAAAGGGAAACCTAACAAGGCACAACCACTGTGGAACAACTGAAAACAATAATGCTCATATTAGCTGTTGAACTATACTTTTGTACTCTATTTCTGGAAAAAGCCTTCAACAACAGTTTCTTTTTTTCTTTTTTGTGATATTTGTTGTATTTATCATTTTGCCCTGCTCTCCCTTTCATTTTACCTTCAGCGTATCTAGTCCATTTAAAATTTTTTCTGTTTCGCACATCGTGCGTAACCCCGTCCACTCCGCAGCTGAAGTAGTTTCGAAGTACAATTTTCTAGTCTAAACCACACGAAAAAAATCAACAGCCACAAATATATTGACACTTCTTCTTACATTTTCTTCTTCATTTACAGGCATTTTTTACGGTCGTAAAAGTCCACCATCTGAATACATGATTCACACAGACAATTCTAAGGGAGAAAAATTTTTAAAAAACGGTGATAGTTACTTTTTTAGAGGAGTAGTTTTTAATTGGCGGCAGTTCTAACATTTTGTAAGACATTTGTGCTCTATTTCTAAAGGAGGGGCTGGTAAAGGCAACTTCAAAGCTTTGTAAAAAAAAAAAAAGAACCAAAGCAACAGTGAAAATACAGATGCTGAGGAAAATTCAAAAGATTTGGAAGGGGCCCAATTGATTCCTTGCAGATCGTTTGATGTGTTCGACCCGATACTTTGTGACTATAAATCTTTTTTACATGCGACTTACTGTAAGCAAATTTCTTTGAAGCTGAGATCAATTCTTCTGCAGTTGTAAAAAAAATTATAATCTTGTTACTACCTTTCCTTATACAACTTATTCTGAAGATATTAATCTGATTACTGATGTCATTTTCGTGCTTTTTT